TGTTCTGAGTGTAAAAATAGTGCTTGTATTTTTGCAGCTGGTTACTGCTATTCAGCACCAGGGTACTCTCTGGAAAAATGCTAAGGAAATGTCCCTAGTTGGCACTTCTGACATTTTCATTTAACCAACATGGTGGTTAAATTTTGTTATATTTATGTTCCTGTGGGATTATTTCCGGGGTGGGCAAGCTGCGGCCTGGGGGCCGCATCTGGCCCTTCAGACATTTTAATCTGGCCCTCGAGCTCCCTCCAGGGAGCAGGATCCAGGGCTTGTCCCGCTCCAGCACTCCAGTTGGGGAGTGGGCTCAGAGGCTTGCCCCACTCTGCATGTGCTGTGGCTCTGCGTGGCTCCTGGAAGCAGCGGCATGTCCCCACTCTGGCTCCTGCACGTAGGGGCAGTGAAGGGGCTCCGCACAATGCCCCCACCCGAAGTGCTGCCCCCACAGCTCCCATTGGCCAGGAACCACAGCCAGCGGGAGCTGCAGGGGTGGCATCTATGGATGGGGCAGTGTTCAGATCTGCCTGGCTGCGCCTCTGTATAGGAGACAGAAGGGGGACATGCCGCTGCTTCCGGGAGCTGCTTGAGGTAAGCGCTGCCCAGAGCCTGCACCCCTGACCCCCACCTATGCCCCAACCCCCTGCCCCAGCCTTGATCTTCCTCCTGCCCCCTGAACCCCTTGGTACCAGCCCACAGCACCCTCCTGCACTGCAAACCCTGATCCCCAGTCCTACCCCAGAGCCCGCACCCCCAGCCAGAGCCCTCCCCTGCCCCACACCCCAAATCCTTGCCCCAGCCCGGAGCCGCTTCCCGCACACCAAACTCATTTCTGGACCCACCACAGAGCCCACACCCCCAGCCGGAGCCCTCACCCCCTTCCGCACCCCAACCCCCAATTTTGAGAGCATTCATGGCCTGCCATACAATTTCCATAGCCAGATGTGGCCCTTGGGCCAAAAAGTTTGTTCACCCCTGGGTTATTTGATTTGATCTTGAGATAACTGGTGAGTCTGTTTATTTGTGTGTGTCCTTTTAAAATGTTATCAAGGACATCCATAGTACAGCTACACTGTAAAAAAAGATGCACAAACCTGCATCAACTGAGTCAAGTTTGTGCTATAGGGTTAAAAAGAGCAGTGTAGACATTTGGGCTTGATCTGCAGTCTGGTCTCTGAAACAACAGTGGGGGGGACAGTCTTGGAATCCAGGCTACAGCCAAAGCCCAAATGTCTACATTGCTATTTTTAGTCCTGTAGTGTGAGTCGGGGTCAGCTGAGTTGTGTGTGTGTGTGTGTGTGTATATATATATATATATAAAATTTTGCCATGTAGACATACCCCCAAGACACTTTCATTGTAGTGTCCTAACAATGTAAATAAAAACATACATATCAATCACCATTTTAAATTTTTTGCCAATGATCAGTTACATAAATCTGCTAAGTAGGCGTTAATAAGAGAAGCTGTTCCAAATGTTTATTTGCGTTTTTTTTTAAAAAGACATTTTTAAAAAGGAGATAAATATTAACAAATTATCAGTCTTGATACCAACATTCACCTTAGTGAAAAACAAAACACGACTCTGTATGGATGCTGGAGTCTGCCAAGGTGGAACCATTGGCAGTTTGATGGCCTCAGTATTCTAATTGTATTTTATTTGTTTACCTGAGCATCAGTTTTATTCAATGTTATCTACTACTCACAACATTGAATAAAATGTTGTCTTCTGTATATTTTTTCCACTGAGCATCCTATTACTGATGTATTGGGGGAAAGGGGCTTTTTGGATTAAAAATAATATAGGCTCCAATTCAGCAAAACATGTAAGCACGTAGGATAAAACGTTTCAAAAGCACCTAAGTCTCATTTTCAAAAAAAGTGATAGTCAGTTAGCAGTTAGGTCCTCCATGCCCACATCCTCAAAAGTATTAAGATCCCGAATTCCCATGTAGGTAGACACCTGAATACATTTGAGGATGTAGGCCTATGGGCCTTTGTGGCCCATCAGTGAGTGTGTATTAGAGAAAATATGAGTTATGAGATATGAGCCCCGAGCTACAGAATCTTGGCTCTTTAGCTCAAGCTATAGCATCCAGTGCTTTTAGCTCTGAAGGTCCCTGATTCAGTCTTTAGTGGGTTAGCCAAGATGGAAGCCATCATACCTACTTCATTTTTGAAAGAGAGACTTCAGTGCATTTGAGAATTTTACCTATGATTAACTTTAAGCATGTCCCATTGACTTTAACTCCACTGATTTCAGTTTTGCTTCATCAGAGTCATAATGCCTGTGACCGATGCTTCTGCTGACCAGAACGCTTGTACTAAGCTACAGTGTTTGAAAAAAGATTTTATCAGAAAAGGAAATGAGCAACACAATGCTCGCTAAACCACAATATAACAAAATGACCTTGCGATTTCTAAGCCACTAAAGTTTTAATCACACTTCTACACGCACCATGTGTAACATTTTTAACCACAGTTCAGGACCTAAGCTAGTTATTTTACTAGTGTCTTAATAATGAAATTAGTTAACAACTGCCGTGGTAAACACTTATACTGAACATAATTTTGAGTTATGGAGTAGGATAAGCGGCACTGAGATATGAAACAGGATCCTTTGGTCACATCTTGCACTATTGTTCAGCTGTGAAGTTTAAAACAGACATTTTCCCTGCAGAAATAATGGCCTAGTGTTTCTTTTGAGACAGTGTTTCTATCAAGGAACCTGATCCTGCAGGCATTACTCACATGAGTAATTCTCATCCCATGATTAGTCTCATTGATTTTTTGGGAGTGTAACTACATAATGAACTGGTTCCACATCCTAAATGTGTTCCATGGTCCACTTCTTTCCTGCTGACCTACTTTTGTGTCATTGTTACCTTGTGCTCATGCTACCTGTTAGGTGTATCTGTCTGTTTTCTCTTGTCCTTTATTTAGATTGTAAGCTCCTTGGGACAGGAATTGCTTTTTTTATGTATTTATGCCTAGTACATTGGGGCCCTGGTCTATGAATGGGGCCCCTCGTTGCTGCTGCACTATAAATAATAAATACAATAATAATAATTAATAATGTTCAACCAACCCAAACGTGCCAGTGAACATTTTGGGCCAGACTGTGAAATGTACAATCTCTTGTGAATAAAGATTACTCACAGGAATAATTGTTGCATTATCCGTGGAAATTAGCAATCTAATGAAAAAGCAAATGCCCAGTATTGGACTCATTTAAAGTGCTGAAGTTGGATGTGACAATATTGAATGGGATACTACCAGTTGTTCTGTGTGTCACTGTTCACACGTGGGACAAATTTATGGAGAGTGAGGAGCTAGGAGAAAGGTCAAGAAATGAAAATGAATCTCTTTAACTCTTTTTAGGCTGGGAATTGATCCTGTTATTGCTTAGAACCAGATTCTGATATTCTCACTCAGGGTAAATTGCACCTTACCCCTCATGTAGTGCCATTGAAGTCAATGGAACTGTGTGAAGTAAGTTACCCCTGAATTTGAGTAAGTGTACCAAAATATGGCCCTTAGTATCACGATTCTTGGCAAATTTCTGATTTTGGAATAGAAACTTTTATGTATCCATTTCATCATGAATTAATCATAATCTATTATAATAGAATCCATCGTGCTGAATTCAGCTGGCATTAGTGTAAATGTCAGATGTATTTCTGTAGGTGTTTCATTGCATTTTGTCAGCAATTAAACATTAGTCAATGGACACTTAAAATTAATGCTACCCTACATTTCCTCTTCCTTAATATCTTTGAACCATAAATAATGTGACTTGAATCATGAATTGAAATGGGCATGATGGTACTTTGTGTCAATGAAGGGCACTGTCACAAATATGGAATTACGATTTCTGAACATGCTCTAGCTAGAGAATGAATATCATTGATGGCAAATGCTGGAAAATGCTACCGTTAACTTAAAGGCCACATACTCCCTTCTGCAACAAAGGTGAATGGGTGCTAAATGGCATGGAAAACTCCCTATCATGCAGAAGGAGGGAGCAGTGCCTCTGTTGCACGAATCGGAGACCACAGCAAAACCCTACATAAGAAAGCTGCATTGTTTGGCTCTGTGGATCTGGAGTGAGCAAGCCAGAAATTGAGCTAGGGAAACCTGCTCACAGAGGAATTGTCACCCTTGAAATCTATGGAGATTATGCAGTGAGCTACTTGAAAGACCCTCTTCCTGCAAATACGTGAGTGCAGGATTAACTTTAAGCATGGGAGTAGTCTTTAGAAATTAAGCTTGCAGGAGTTTGCAGGATTGAGTCATAGATCAGTATTATTTTACCTGGGTCTCCCTGCCTTCTAGAAGAAGCCCCACTCCAAAGGGTCTCAGGAGCAACTGCAAGTGGAAAGGGCATGGCAGGGAAGCAGAGCTATGTTGCCATGAAGGGAGTAATCAGGACAAGAGCTTCATGTGTTTGCCCTACTGTTCAGCAAGTGTCCCACTGTCCATAAGAACAGCCATACCACGTCAAACCAATGGTCCACCTAGCCCTGTGTCCTGATAGTGGCCAGTGCCAGCTGCTTCAGAGGGAATGAACAAAACAGGTCAATTCTGAGTGATCCATCCCATTTCCCAATCACAGTTTCTGGCATGGAGTTCATGCCTGGACAGTCATAGGTTTTGGTAGCTTAATTCACTTTCCCTTCCACAAGAAGTTAATGCATCCCCACTCTAACGGAATGATGTCACTGGAAGTTGGAATTCAAAGTTTCCTGTCACCAGTGGGTTTTTCTCCCCCTTTCCTTTTGCATAGGGAACAATTTGGTTCTAAATTGTTAAAAACAAGAACCGGCAAAAGTCAAATCCACCCATTAGAGGGAAAGACATGGGGGGGGAAGAAATGTCATTCAGCTATACATATAGTTTTCCAGATTTGAAAAACTTCTAAGATACATGGGCCTAATTTTGCTCCCATTGAAGCTTGTTTCCAACATATTACTATTTTCTAATTAAGTTATTTTCTACTGAATCAGAGTCAACAGGAAAACTATAGTAGAACGACCAACAGATCTGAAAAACAGGAAGCTAACTTTGCCAATGAATAGGTAAGTAAATTTATTATTTTTAAAGCCCTGATAAATAATTATAAGAATTTCATTATTGATGTATAGCTGCTTCAAACATTGGCCAGCTAAAGGTCAGATGAATCCAGTGTGGTTTGAAGAGAGCTCACTAAACAGGAAACCACTCAGCTTCATTTTTTGTTCAGTAGCTGCTACAAGAGATAAGACAAAAAAGAGCAGAAGCTACAGGACAGCTCTAAGTACAGGGGGGAGTTTGGAGCCAAAGGTTTAGAGCTGATATTTTGCTAACCCTCCGCATTTCCTAGAGAAGCTGCTCAGATAGTAGGGTGATGGGGTGTGTGTAAATTTATTCCTAATCCTGGTTACATCTAAATTCAAAAACAGTTATTTTCCTGTTTTTTAATAGTTGGTAGGTGCTCACATACCACAATGGTGGATCCATATAAGTACTGGGACAGTAAGATCTGAAATACAAAGGGGTGAGGCGGATGAGGGTGACAGACAGAGCCATCATTCCAACAGTGAAGGGAGAGATCTGTGCATATGAATCCTCTGTGCTCACATCTTGGTGGTTCATCAGGGCGCATGTTTAGACACTGGATCAGATCAGATTCAGAAGGCAGAGTGCCATCTACTGAATCACCAATACAGGAGTTATACTATTTACCTACAATGCTTAATTAATTCATATTTGTAAAATGCTTTGAGATTCTTGCATAGGAAAGATGGGTCCTATGTAACTGCAACATATTACTGGCAATACAACCAAGACCCAAGAGGCCCCAAAATCATCAATTTTCCCACAGTTACCAAAAACGTTTTCTCACTTAAATGATTAGCAGTTCCCTCATTCTGTTATGCTAATCCTTCAATGAGGTTTTGATAAACTTGCTAATATTTTGGTGACTGCATTTGTTCTCTTTTACTTCTTTAGATCTTGGCCAAACATGAATGCAGCAAGTAAGCTAGAGTTAAACCACAGAGGTAAAAAACTATGTTACCATTTATACCATGTTTCTTCTCAATAACATTTTTCATTCTGTTTTCTTTTTACTATTCTTATTACCCTTGGTGTCAGCAATAGTTTGGGATAGTTTGGGATATGCAAAGAATATAGAATCAGAACCCAGGTGTGTTGATCTATTGTAAGAAATATACACAACTCAGGTATCAATGAATGAATGAGGCCAAAAACTACCAGCACACAAGAAGAATACTGATTTTGTGGCCTCATGCATTAAAAAGTTCTACATCACATGGAATAAGTTATCCTGCTGCATATAAAATGGAGATTTAAAACAACAAACATTGAATTGTTAATGAAATGGTTCATTGCTTCTAAAAACCATGGGAGGGAAGAATGTACAAAGCTTTTTTTTTTAAAGTGCCTTTTTATCTATATCTATCTTGCCCCATTTAGGCCAAGTTTTATGGGCACAGTTGTCTGTACCATCAGATCTGATTTAAATCATCAAAACAGTTGATCTCTTTTAAAACAATCGGGTGATTGACCTTTTGCAAAAAAAAAAATCCATTTTAATTTAGAAAAAAAAATTAAACTTCTCCTATTTATAAGGCCCTGATCCTAATTATAAGGTGCTCTCTAGCCCTCATTCAGTAAAGCATTTAAGTACATGTTTAACATTAAGCATGTACTTAAGTCACATTGACTTCATGGGTAAAATTTTGGCCCCACTGTAATCAGTGGGGAAAATTCCCACTGACATCCATGGGCCCAGGATTTCACCCCAAGACTTCAATGGAACATGCTTAATGAAAAGAATGTACATCAGTGCTTTGTGAAATCAAGGGCTCTATTAACGTGTGCTGGATGTAAAGCCGGTACCCTACATTTATTGTACAACACGTGCATCTTGCCACATGTTACACATTCACACATAAAGGACGTTTGCTAAAATGTGTACATCCACCACCCCCTTACTTTTTACTTTAAAATAGCATCAAAGGGCTTTTTTAATAGAGGATGTTACAGGGTGTATAAACCCTGCACTAGGTCTGAAGGGGTTAAAGAGCAACTCTGGGCCCAGCTGACCATGCCCAGCTGCAGCTGCAGAGCATGCTCCAGATGGAGGTGGAGCTTAAAAGGAATCCAGACAGCTCTGAAGGGGGCTGACAAGGCAGGGAGAAAGGTCTACCCTGGGAGTTCCTAGGAAGGGATGCTGTAGAAGCTTCTCTGGGAAAAGAGGAGCTTTCCTGCTGGGCTCAGACAGGCTAAAGGTGTAGGTAGTGTATTTTTTTCATTATCTTTTGCTACAGACTGCAAAGCTTGGACCATAGAGAAGAGGGTAGGAAGTGGCCCACGGCAGGCAGCCTTAAGGTGCTTTTGGGTAGACCTTGGTAACTGTCACAGGGCCTGGGTTCCCCTATTAAGAAGGAACTAACCCCTTGGTTCCCCGTATTAAGAAGGAAGGGACCCCCAACCACTAGGTGATGTTTCCAGTCAGCACCAATAGGAAGTAGGTTTTGTGGTAAAAAGAACCAACTCAGATAAAATAAAACCAACCTGTCTGGTGGTTTCAGTGACATGTGTTCTCTTTCGATTCACTTCTAAGTGAACAAGTGGCCACAGCACAGCAAAACCTCCCTACAGCTGGCACTTACTGGCAGCTTCCTGCCTCCTCCCCCTAGTCTTGGAAGAGAGGCCAGCCTATTCTCCTGCTCATCCCTTGAATTGAACCCACATAATTTTTGAGGATCCTGCATGTCCTCACTAAGGCCTAAAACAGAGATGCCTAAATACATGAGATGGGCATTTTTCATGATATTTCCAGACAAACTAGAAACTGCCTAAGAGAATCTTACCCTTGAAAAATTGTCAACCCAATTTTGTATATCAAAGGGGTTTGGAGAGATTGGCTAAGCATCTGCAGGTTGGGCTGTTTATTAAAACACAACTTCCTGTCTGATGTCAGTATTAGAAACATAATGAAATCACTGACCTTTCTAAGATCTTCTTGCATTGAAGTCCATGGGTGCAGATTCAGACCCTGTGAACTCCTATTTTAATTAGTATGACCACAGAATCAAAGTTGTCCCTGTTGTCTCATTTAAAATAAAAAGGCAATTTTGATACTTGGTACTCATGTGCAATATGGTAACCCGTGGCACTTTGGTAAATGTAAGGGAGCTGTGAAGATGTTTTGACTTTGAATAAGGGGTCACCAACCTGAAAATGCTGAGAAATGCCAAGTCTACACCAGGTCTTCAGTTTCCAATGAAAATAACAGTGGTAAGAAGAGGTCAATTAGATTGTAGACTCTTTGGCACAAAGACTGTCTCCTACATGCATTTGTACAACACCAGCACAATGGGGCCCTGATCTGACTGAGACCTGAGGGTATGAGCACATTACAAATAATAAATAAATGAACACCGTCCTGAAAAGTGTTCGTGCCCTCAATTGCCATGCACCTTCCAGATGGTGCTCGGTGGTTTGGAAGATCAGGCCCCAATACACATTGTGCTGATTATGTTACATTACTGTATATAAGATTCGTCACCACTATAGAAAAGGTATTGAATTGAAAGTCCATCATGATACAAGAGGAAGATTTTCCGCCCTGTACTGGCTGGTTTGCACTACTCAGTCAGCAGAAAGGAGCTGGACAGATAACTTAACCAGAAAACTGAGGGTTCTCCTTGCGTAAAGGGAATCCCTAGATAGAACAGCACCAGCACTGTGCCTCTATGTGATCATTCTCACCACCCATGGTCAGAAGAGGTGTTCCGAGAAGAAAGGAGGCATGGCTGGGATGCCTCTGAGCTCCAGTGATCCCAGGCTCATAGACTCATGGACATTAAAGGCCAGAGGGGACCATCACGATCATCTAGTTGGACCTCCTCCACATTAGAGGTCACAGAACCTCACCCACTTTACTATCAGAATGGCTTGGGTCTCTGGGCATACAGGTATAAATTTAAGTTATTGAGGTCTTTATGATGCTCTAATTTATGCTGGGAATGAGGCTACCTCTGCCTGGTCCTCTTCCAAATTCCATTTGGTTATACTAGAGAATGTGGCCAATAATATTGATCTGTGTGACTCATTTTCCTGTCATGTTGAGGGTGTTTAACTTGGAACTCAAGGAATATAGAGTCATTTTTATAACTTGAAATAGAAAATGAAAGAATGAAACTTTAGAGCACTGGTTTGTTTTCATCATTATGTTTGTAGGGCCTGATTCTCCTCTCACTTACACTGGTGTAAATCAGGAGTAACTTCAGTGAAGTCAATAGAGCTATAGTAGTAAACTGGTGTAAGTGAGTGGAGAGTCAGGCCCATAGTTTGCAGGAGTCTGTTTCTCCTCCCGCACGGATGACTGTATAAACATAGATAACAGTAGTACAGGTAGAGTACAAATGAACATTTAATGCCATCTGCTGGGCCATGCAACATTGTGCAATATTTTGTTGCTGGAATCATGTATTGAATCTAACTTACAGAAGAACAATGATGCATAAAAGGGTGTGTTTCTTTTGTTTTTTGGTCAGGGTCAGTTAGAATGTCCAAAGGATCTACATAACACAATACATATTGTGACAGACCCAGACCAGTGGACGTACAGGAGTCTGGTCCTATTGGGATCCAGGACGTGGGCGGGCAGAGCTCGTCCACTACAAAGGAGCCCCCCCCAGCCTAAGGGGGAGATCCACAGGGCCTGGAGAACCAACTAGTTACGGGGGACAACTAATGAAAAACAGGGACGGGAGTGCGGTCAAAGGGTCAAACGAAGGGAACCGGACGGGGACACCGAGCAGAGAACTCCGGACAGCGCCCACCGCTCCTCAAAGGCATCAAGGGAGTCAGTGGACGCCGCCCAGAGGAACTCCGCTCGGAGGCGTGAACGGACAGAGGATCGGAAATAGGCCCCGCAGTCGCAGGAGACTCCATCGGCCAACCTCCTCACCCTGGTTTTATAGATGGCCGCTTTAGCCAGGGCCAGGAGGAGGTTGACCAGGAGGTCCCGCGACTTAGTGGGGCCACGGACAGGGAGTGCGTAGATGAGGAGGTGAGGAGAAAAGTGCAACCAAAACCGTAACAAAAGACTGGTGAGGAGCCGGAATAGGGGCTGCAACCTGGCGCACTCCAGATAGACGTGCGCCAGGGTTTCCTTCACGCCGCAAAAGGGGCAGGTGTCCGGAATCGGGTACAGGAGTCTGGTCCTATTGGGATCCAGGGAGTGGGCGGGCGGAGCTCGTCCACTACGAAAGGAGCCCCCCCCAGCCTAAGGGGGAGATCCACAGGGCCTGGAGAGCCAACTAATTACGGGGGACAACTAATGAAAAACAGGGACGGGAGTGCGGTCAAAGGGTCAAACGAAGGGAACCGGACGGGGACACCGAGCAGAGAACCCCGGACAGCGCCCACCGCTCCTCAAAGGCGTCAAGGGAGTCGGTGGACGCCGCCCAGAGGAACTCCGCTCGGAGACGTGAACGGACAGAGGATCGGAAATAGGCCCCGCAGTCGCAGGAGACTCCATCGGCCAACCTCCTCACCCTGGTTTTATAGATGGCCGCTTTAGCCAGGGCCAGGAGGAGGTTGACCAGGAGGTCCCGCGACTTAGTGGGGCCACGGACAGGGAGTGCGTAGATGAGGAGGTGAGGAGAAAAGTGCAACCAAAACCGTAACAAAAGACTGGTGAGGAGCCGGAATAGGGGCTGCAACCTGGCGCACTCCAGATAGACGTGCGCCAGGGTTTCCTTCACGCCGCAAAAGGGGCAGGTGTCCGGAATCGGGTACAGGAGTCTGGTAGAAGGCAAATATACTGGCCAATGGATGAATAGTTTTCTGTTCCCTGAGTGACCAGAACAGGGGCTGCACTAGGGCAACCAGGAACCTGCTAGAACCAATTAAGACAGGCAAGCTAATTAAGACACCTGGAGCCAATTAAGAACATACTAGAATCAATTATGGCAGGCCGACTAATCAGGACACCTGGTTTAGAAAGAACCACCCATCAGTTAGTGGGGGGTGTGCAAGGAGTGAGAAGGTGTACTGCTGGAGGACTGAGAAGTACAAGAATAACCAGGCTTCAGGAGGAAGATCCTGCAGTGAGGATAAAGAAGGTGCTGGGGGGGAGGCCATGGGAAAGTAGCCCAGGGAGTTGTAGCTGTCATGCAGCTGATACAGGAGATATAGACAGCTGCTATCCACAGGCCCCTGGGCTGGAACCCGGTGTAGAGTGTGGGCCCAGGTTCCCCCCAGTCCCCCAACTCCTGATCGGACACAGGAGGAGTTGACCTGGTCTGTGAGCAACACTAGGTGGGACAATAGAGACTGTGGAGATTGTTCTCCATTTCCCCCATGCTGGCCAGTGATGAGGTTAGCTGAGTGAATGGCAGGTTTGAGCCTCTAGCAGAAACGGCCAAAATAAGGGCTGCTGTGAACCAAAATGAAACATTTTGATTGCCCAGAACCAAACAAATTGGGGTTCTTTTCAGTTCATGAATAGTTGAGATTTCAACTTTTTGTCCAGATTTGAGACAGGAAGAAATTGAGCTCCCAAAAATATCCATGGGACAGGAAAACCATTTTCTTCTAAGCTCTAACTGTGAGGTGCTCAGATGCTATGGTCATGGGAACCATAAAACTACTTACAATATTTTTATTTATTTATTATTTAGGCACCTAGCTTTAGGCACCCATTTGAGAAAAACTTGGCCTTCATAGCCTCTGTGCAGATGAAATAAGGGTGGGTCTGAGGTTCCATAAGACTCTTTCCTTACTAATGTATCTACTCAGGGGCAGCTGGCATTTTTCACTATGTGAGCTATGTGAATATTTTCAGTATATTATACAGTTAACTAAGTTCTGTTCCCTTTAATAAAATACTAAATAATATCACTCTTCTATATAGAATATATAATATTTGCTGTAATCTTTCTGACCACTTTATTTAGAAGGCAAGAGCAGAAATATTCCTGGAAAAACATCTAATTTTGTAAGTATTTTTTTCCCTTCCTTTCTAAAATTTTACCTTACTTTCACTTTGACTTGAAATTTAAGATTGTCACCTGCTGTAATGCTGTTGTGGGAAGACCATCCTTTCTGCCTGAGCATCTGGAATGTAGAGTGGGATTTTGAAAAGTGCTTAGTTTTGGCCTAACTCTGCTCCTATTGGAATCAATGAAAGCTTTAAATTGACTTCAGTGGGAGCAGGATTAGACCAATGCTTGTTTTAGAAAATACCAAGAATATGGTTCATTTTCTGTATATAGCTGTGTTCTATTTTGAACTTCAGTAACATTGTATTTAGAATAATCATTCAGTATCAAATCTACAAAAGTATAAGATGCATCTGTTCTCCAATGTGCAATTTTGTATTCAAATAAACATGGAAAATGGTTATTTCCAGATAGGCTTGGAACTTCTGAAGCTGGGTTACAGGAGCAGACTACTCAGCCAATTACTTATCTATGGCCTGATTCTGTTTTACCTGTGTATCTCAAAAATCACTCTGAAATCAATAGAAGTTGGTGTAAACAAGAATGGCAAGACCATGTGCTATAAATTGGACAATTAGTATCCAAGTAGTGCCAACAGAAGAGCTGGGCAAATAAAAACATTGCAGTGAACTTTCATTCAAATTTGAAAGCTGATTGCAATTCTACCATATAGTAATATTCACCGCCCTGCCTTGTTTGCTTGGAAACCGAAGATTTGCTAGTGCAAGCACTCAGGACTCAAATATTTGAATAGTTATTAACCAAAAGTGACTTCTGAATGTTAGATTTTTATTTTACAATTTGTGATGACTGAGTAATTACATAAATCACTGATGTTCAGATTCACAGAGTCCAAGGACAGAAATACCCTCTGTGACAATATTAGTTCTATTCCCTAGCTGCTTGATTTATGTAACTGAACAGCATAGCACAAATGACACATTGAAAATATTACAGTGAAATGTACAATTTTTAAAATGTGCTTTGCTGGTTAAGTTACACTCTATGTAACATTTTCAAAAGTAAGTGACTTAGGAACCAGATTACTATTTCCAAAGTGACTTAGGCACTTAGGGGAGACTTTTCAAAGGCACAAATGATACTCAGCAAAAGTTGATGGAAATTAGACTCCTAACTGCTATTTGAAAATCTCCCTCTTAGGAGCCTGAGTCCCACTATCTTTTAAATTAAAGTCACTTTTAAGTTTGTATGCAGCCTTAGTTAAATTCTAAACTGCAAACAGAAACTCTGCTGCACCAGTGTACTCTGTGCAACCTTTCATCTTCATCCCTTCAACAGTTGAACAAAACTCCCAGTTCACAGTCTGCAGGCATGAAATGGCAGGAGTCAGCCCAACTCTATCAATGGTCACTGAAGCCATGCACCTGAGCCATTCGAGTGAATGCAACTCCATTGACTTTGGCCAAACCTGAAGTGAGCCCTGTGTTACCTGAATTTCCTTTCTTTTGCTTAGGATAAACATTTTGCAAAAGTGGGTGAGGATGAATCAGAACATTCACGCGATGTACCTGATGAAGAACAGTATCCCTATGATACTGTAAAAACTTCCAGCTTGGAGGCAATGCATGCTTTGACAATTTTGCCTGCCAAACCTATACAAGAATCTGAGTATGCAGGTAATTGACTTCTGTGCTAAAACAGAACGGGGTCCTTGGGTTAAATGGGGAAAGCAAGGACCAGATTGTGCTCAGTTTGGTCATTTTTAAAAATATTTAGACCAAGTGCTCCACTGGGTGAAAGATATAGAAAGAAAAATGTGATTGCCAGGATAATCAATTGCATATGAATGAATGTAACATTATTTTAAGGGCACCTACCACACATCCTTCAGGAATGGGCATTTTGTTTTTAAATAAATTTTCCCAAGGATTGTTTGTAGGAAAATTCTGTATTTTAATCAAGCCAGTGATTTGTTTTACAGAAGGCCCTATTCAAGTCTCATTTTATTTTAGTGCTTACCTATAATATAATGACACAAGCCGCTGTCAAATTTGGGGTAAAGAAAGGTGGCCCCTACCGGCTATGCTAGTCAGCCCTAATAACTACTTTCTAGAAATTTTAAACTCCTGCAAAAAAAAAAAAAGAGCCATAGGCAGAAATCTCAAATATGTACATAAAATGTGCCCAACAATAGCAAATAAATTAAATTTAAAAAAACTAAAATCAATTCTACAGCAGCAAATGGGAGAGGTTTGTATAAAGTAAGGGCCTGATTCAGTTCCCACTGAAGCCAAAGTTTTTTCCATTGTTTTCAATGGGATTTACATTGGACCCTAATCAAATTACTGAGCTCATTTTTTCCTTAGATTCCTCAGCGTGTATGAACACAGTATGGGTTCAACTCAGGGTAGACTATGCTGAGTTCTAAACTTATTTCCAGGCTTTATTTGGAAACTTGAAGTAGCAGCACTCAAATGCTTGATTAAATCTTTTCTCCCCCCCTGCTTGCCAATGGGAACATTTCTGTTAGGAACCCTCTGGAAGCATCCTCTGGTGCTTATCTAAGAGCACCCTAGAGTACAGTTACTGCCTGGGGAAAACAATGCAAATTTTGACTGATGGATCCAAAGAAAAGCACATTAAACAAATAGACAGCCATTTTTAGTTCAGTTATGACCTGTAGCTGCCACATTCCAGAAAAGAATCTGAAAATACATTTCAGAAAGACAGACTTTTGTGTTCATGCCCCATTCTGCAATCTTTTATGGGAAATAAAAATACACACTTGAAGTTAATGACTCAGAAAATGTACTGACTTGGAAAAACATGCTCATGTACATGGATGTGTATCAACATGTAGGCACATTTTAGACAAGCATAAATGTGTACTAGAAACAAATATAGGTATTGGGAAGACTTCCTGTTATACCTTCTGAATAAATGATAGCGAACAAGAATATAGGGTGCAGGGAACAGTGTCAGACAGCAGTTTAGGCAGGAAATTTCTAAAAAAATGACTAGTCGGGAGAGGGTTTCTAACCATCTTTTATGATTGTTGTTGCTCTATTGCAGAGGTTTTTGAGAAAATAGGCCAAGTTGCCCCCTCCTGAGGGGTAATGGAGTGGGACTTGACAAAGACATCCTGGTAGAATTCCTCCCAAATGGCAGAAGATGGAGCTTGCCCTCTTTTCCCAAAAGAATTGGCTTATAAACTCCACAGCTCTCTCAGCCCAGGCCCCCTGCAAATCCTATCCTTGAGGCTTTTTTCAATCAATATCAGCTCTGGGCCAGAGAGGCAACACAATAACTCCATGGCAGTGGAGTTGGGCTTGCAGGGACTCCTCTGGCCACTGTTATGTAGCCCAGGGAGCCCCCACTTTCAGGGGGAATTCCCCAATGTGGAGTTTGCACAATAGAAAAGATATAGTCTGGGGATTTATCACCTTTCCCAGATAATTTCTGGGGAGCTACAGGGGAATTATGTGCATCCTCCACAACCCTGATCACACCCAACTGGGATTGCCTATTCCCTGCTTAATACTGCCCCTCTCACCCTGCATATATCCCCAATGGAAATTCCTCTGTAGAGCCCTAGAAAGTGGGGTGTAGAGCCACAGAAGATAGCTGACACCCTTCTTCAATATAAGGGGTCAGATCCATGCCTGGAGGAGCCACTTCCATGTGCCGAAATCATGTGAGTATGGTTGGGACTAATTGCATGAGTAAGATGAGCAGGGAAAGCTGAAGGGTTTGCACATCCTTTATTGTTTCTGAACCAGCCACTAATATCTACGTTGTTGGATCCTCCCATGTCCTTTGCTGATGTTTCAAATGACTGTTCCACTGAATTCAGTGAAATGCCTTAGATGTAGCTTACGCATTTGGCAGCTTTAAAGGTGCTGCCAAATATACTTGGGGGCACTCAGCCACCATGAAGTGGCTAACAAACAAACACTATTCCACAGCTGTAAGTGGTACACTGCAAGTGATGTTCTGGAATGATTAGGTGGTAGTGCTTTATAAATGAATGACTTGACAAAGATTGAATTGAACTTGTCAAAGTACACTAACATTAAATTACTTATGTACTGTTCATAGAATCATAGAAGATTAGAGTTGGAAGAGGCCTCAGAAGGTCATCTAGTCCAACCCCCTGCTCAAAGCAGGACCAACACCAACTAAATCATCCCAGCCAGGGCTCTGTCAAGCCGGGCCTTAAAAACCTCTAAGGACGGAGATTCCATCACCTCCCTAGATAACCCATTCCAGTGCTTCACCACCCTCCTAGTGAAATAGTTTTTCCTAATATCCAACCTAGACCTTCCCCACTGCAACTTGAGTCCCCCACTTGCTTCTTGTTCTGTCATCTGCCACCACTGAGAACAACTTAACTCCATCCTCTTTGGAACCCCCCTTCAGGTAGTTGAAGGCTGCAATCAAATCCCGCCTAATGCTGATTTTTAAAGAGGGCTCCAGAGGCAATCCTAGCACTTACAAGCCAGTGACCCTAATTTCAGTACCAGCAAAATTGGTAGAAACTATAATAAAGAATTGAATTGTCACACACCTAGATAAATGTGATTTGTTAGGTAAGAACCAACATGGCTTTTGTAAAGGGAAATCATGCTTCACCATTCTATTAACAATAACACAAAATGTGGAAATAGCAGAATGCTAATTGACTTTTTTGTTTCAATTTTCACCAAAAAGTTTAGTAGCAATTGAACATCTAACTTAATGAATGCCAATGAAAATGAGGTAGGATTAGAGGCTAAAATAGGGAAAGAACAAGTTAAAAATTACATAGACAACTTAGATGTTTGCAAGTCAGCAGTGCTTAATGAAATACATCCAAGAATACTCAAAGAGCTGACTAAGGAGATATCTGAACCAATAGCGATTATCTTATAAAAGTCATGGAAGACAGGTGAGATTCCAGAAAACTGGAAAAGAGCAAATATAGTGCCAATCTAAAAAAGGGGGAATAAGGACAACCCAGGGAATTACAGACCAGTCAGCTTAACTTCTGTACCTGGAAAGATAATGCAGCAAATAATTAAGCAATCAATTTGCAAACATCTAGAAGATAATAAGGTGATAAGTAACAGTCAGCATGGATTTGTCAAGAACAAATCATGTTAAACTAACCTGAGAGCTTTCTTTGACAGGGTAACAAGCCTTGTGGATAGGGGGAAGCGGTAGATATGGTATATCTTGACTTTAGTAAAGCTTTTGATAGTGTCTCGCATGACTTTCTCATAAATAAACTAGGGAAATACAACCTAGATGGAGCTACTACAAGGTGGGTGCATAACTGGTTGGAAAACTGGTCCCAGAGAGTAGTTATCAGTGATTCACAGTCATGCTGGAATGGCATAGCGAGTGGGGTCCCACAAGGATCAGTTCTGGGTCCAGTCCTATTCAATGTCTTCATCAATGCTATAAATAATGGCATAGAGAGTACACTTATAAAGTTTGCGGATGATATGAAGTTGGGCAGGGCTGTAAGTGCTTTGGAGGATAGGATTAAAATTCAAAATGATCTGGACAAACTGGAGAAATGGTCTGATGTAAATGGGATGAAATTCAATAAGGACAAATGCAAAGTAGGAAGGAACAAACATACAAAATGGGAAATGACTGCCTAGGAAGGAGTACTGTGAAAAGGGATCTGGGGGCCATAATGGATAACAAGTTAAATATGAGTCAACAGTGTAACACTGTTATCATTCTGGAATGATGTTCACTTTTTTGATATTAGCAGGAGTGTTGTAAGCAAGACATAAGTAGTAATTCTTCTGCTCTACTCCACATTGATTAGGCCTCAATTGGAGTACTTGTGTCCAGTTCTGGGAGCCACATTTCAGGAATATGTAGACAAATTGGAGAGAGTCCAGAGAAGAGCAACAAAAATCATTAAAGCTCTAGAAAATATGACCTAGGAGGGAAGATTGAAATTTTTTTTTTTTTTGGTCTGAAGAAGAGAAGACTAAGAGGGGACATGATAACAGTTTTCACATACATAAAAGGTTGTTACAAGGAGGAGGGAGAAAAATTGTACTCCTTAACCTCGGAGGATAGGACAAGAAGCAGTGATCTTAAATTGCTGCAAGGGCAGATTAGGTTGGACATTAGGATAAACCTCCTAACAATCAGGGTGGTTAAGCACTGGAATAAATTACCTAGGGAGGTTGTGGAATCTCCATCACTGAAGATTTTTAAGAGCAGGTTAGACAAACACCTTTCAGGGATGGTCTAGATCAGTGGTTCTCAAACTGTGGGTTGGGACCGCTCAGGGCATCGTGAAGTTATTACATGGGGGGGGGGGGTCGCGAGCTGTCAGGCTCCACCCCAAACCCCACTTTGCCTCCAGCATTTATAATGGTATTAAATATATTAAGTGTTTTTAATTTGGGGGGGGGGGGTCACACTCAGAGGCTTGCTGTGTGAAAGGGGTCACCAGTACAAAAGTTTGAGAACCATTGGTCTAGATAATACTTAGTCCTGCCTTGAGTGCAGGGGACCTGACTAGAAGACCTCTCAAGGTCCCTTCCAGTCCTATGATTCTATAATTCCATTATTAGGATTATTTGAGGGAGTCACCTAGCGTGTGGATAAGGGTGATCCAGTCAATAGCGGCCTGGTCTACACTAGAAAATTAGGTTGGCATAACTGCATCACTCAGGGTTGTGAAAAATCTAACCCCCCAACACCCAACTGGCATAGTTAAGTTGACCTAAGTCTCTGTGTAGACAGCATTAGGTCGACAGAAGAATTCTTCCATTTACCTAACTATCATCTCTCAGGAAGGTGGATGACCTGTGTCAGTGGGAGAACCCCGCCCATGGCGCAGGTAGTGACTACACTGAAGCCCTATGGCTGCAGTGGCACACCTGGGCCGTAGTAGTGTTTTAAGTCTAGACAAGCTCATTGTGTACGTGGATTTTCACAAAGTCCTTCATACGGTGCCCCACCAAAGGCTCTTAAGCAAATTAAGTGGTCATGGGATAAGAGGGAAGGTCCTCTCATGAATCAGTAACTGGTTGAAAAATAGGAAACAAAGGGTAGAAATAAATGGTCAGTTTTCACAATGGAAAAAGGGCAACAACAGGGTCCCCCAAGGATCTGTACTGGGACCGATGCTATTCTACATATTCATTAATGATGTGGAACAAAGGGGGGGAAAAGTGAAGTGGCAAAGTTTGCAGAGGATATAAAATTTATTCAAGGTAGTTAACTCCAAAGCAGATTGTGAGGAGTTACAGAGGGATCTCACAAAACTGGGTGACTAGGCAAAAAAAATGATGGGTTTTAAACTGTTACCACCCAAGAAAGAAATTTTGGATAATCATGGTGAGTTCTATGAAAACTTCCACTTAATGTGCAGCAATGGTCAAAAAGGTTAATTAGCTTGGGAACTATTAGGAAAGGGATAGAAAATAAAACAATATCATAATGCCACATCTTGAACACTATGTCCATTTCTGGTAACCTCATCTCAAAAAGGATATAGTAGTACCGGAAAACATTCAGAGAAGGGCAACAAAGATGATCAAGGGTATGGAATGGCTTCCATGCAAGGAAAGACTAAAAAGATTACGGCTTTTCAGTTCAGAAAAGAGATGCCTCAGAGGGGATATGATAAAAGTCTGTAAAATCATGAATAGTGTGGAAAAGATGAATAGAGAAATGTTATTACCCTTTCACACAATACAAAAACCAGGGGTCACCTGATGTAATTAATAGGCAGTTCATTTAATACAAACAAGAAAGTACTTTTTCACACGTTGCATAACTAACATATGGAACTCATTGCCATGGGATGTTGTGATGGCCAAAAGTTCAAAAAGGAACTTGATAAATTCATGGAGGATAGGACTAGTAATGGCTATTAGCCAAGATGGTCAGGGACACAACCCCCACCCTCGGGGCAACCCTAAACCTCTGACTACCAGAAGTCAGAAGTGGAAGACAGGTGGATCACTCTATAAATGTTTTGTACATGCTCCTGAAGGTCTGGTCTGGGCCGCTGTCAGACACAGGATACTGGAGAAGATGGACCATGGTTTGTTCCAGTATGGCAGCTCTTATGTACTCTATTTTTTGCCTTTGTCACAGATCAACGGTATTTAGGAAATTCAGCTACCACTCACATTTCTAGAAACACTAAATCCTCTATCATCATCCAGCCGAAGTCCTCTGACTCCCCTCGAGACTTAGGCGTAAGTAAAGATCATACACAAATATAATTCCTTCTTTTTCTGTATCACTTAATGCTGTGCAAAGTCATGGGAGTTGCATGGCTAAATCCTTGGACAGCTTTTTGAATCAGTACGATTCAGTGTTAAGACCCATATTTTAGCCTGGGCTTTTCACTCACTTTGCCATATTGCCATGCAATATTGCTCTCCTTGTTTCTGTAACTTGTGCTGAATGCAGATGTGTCAGCCATATTAATGTCATGTCAAGAGGAGATTTCTAGGAGATAATAACAATTATGGAATAGATTAAAGCCTAGATTAGTGGCTTTCAATTGTTAACTATTTTATGGTATGAAGAGGCCAAGTGTGTGTAATGGTGGAGGAAATATATGTGGAGAAATCCATTAACTGGCAAGTCATCTTGCTCTGTCAGGAACAGCAGAATTTTATTAGCTATATTTCCATTACTACTGACCAATATCACAGCTAAACATTTTATATTATTTACAGCAATGCAGATATCTTTCAGAGGAGAGCAGAGTCCCAAATGTTAAAGGTACAATTAAAAAAACTTGTTTTGCAATTAAATTATGAAATGCAATTTTCTTATGCGCTGTATATAGGGGGAAGAACCATATACATCAGGGAAGAAAGAATAAAAGGCCTATATTTTTCAAAATATCAGTCACTTTAAAAATTCATCATATTACAATTGAGAATCCAGCTTCAACTCAGTAACAACACTGAAGTAATCACTTTCAAGAGGGTACATGTTGTGCCGTTTAGCTCTCCATTCCTCAGAGACAGGCCAGCCCTGTGTAAAACTCAGAGATGTAGATAGAAGAAATAGGAGAGGGGAAATATAATATATAGAGAGAAGTGGCAAGTCTGCTACATTCACCTTCTGAGCAATTAGAGAGTGCACTGGAGTCATTCCCGATTTCAGATGGAGCAAATAGAAACAGAATCTGGTTCTTTGCCTAGCCATTCCACTACATACTCTGATAATTTTCTTTTCATTGTAATGCCACCAGGAGTGGCTGTTAAAAACTCAGCCTTTATCAGTATTTACCACACACTGGTGTCTTCTGGTTTAATGCTAATTCTATCTGCATCTTATTTCAAAATCCCATAATTTAGAGATACTTGTAAATGCATCCTCCAATGATTTATTACCTGTGGGGTAATTGTATATGATAATTAAGGCTACATTTTAATCACTGGTATTTTTAGTAAAAGTAATGGACAGGTCACAGACTGACATGACTATATACCCCTGGCTAAAACTTGGGTAGGGGGGCTAAGGGTGCTTGGGGGGCAGTCCAGGGGTGCTGTAGGTGCTGGGGGGGGCAGCCAGAGGCACGCGGCTTGGGACCCCCACTGGTGCTGGGGGGGGAGGTGGTGGCATGCCACCTAGGTTCCCTGCTGGCACTGGTGCTGGGGAGGCGGTTCACAGCCTGGACTCTCACTGGTGCTGCAGGAGGTGGGTGGAGGGGCTTGCAGGCTCCCTATCCAGCTCTGCGCAGCTCCCCAGAAGCAACCAGCATGTCCCTGCAGCTCCTAGCAGGAGGGAAGGTCAGGGCGGCTCCGCGCACTGCCCTGGCCACAAGCTGCGGGGGCGGTGCTTGCAAGCAGGGGGGCAGAATGCAGAGCTCCCTGGCCCCTCCGCCTATGAGATGCAGGGACATGCTGGCTGCTTCCAGGGAGCCCCCGCCCCAAGGTAAGCACCGCACCACAACCCCCAGCCCTGACCCCCTCCCACACCCAAACTGCTGCTGGCCCAGGGGCTGCCCAAGTGTTCGGACAGTCCCTGAGCCAGCTGCACTGGCTGCTGCAAAAGTCACGGAGGTCACAGAAAGTCACGGAATCCCAGACTTCCGTGACAGACACGCAGCCTTAATTAGGATCAGACACTTGTGTCATTTTGCATAAATTAAAGGAAATGGCCAGCTTTTAGATCCTTTAATTTACAGTTTTACTCTGTCACTATATTAAAATTATATTTAATTTGTTTAAAATAAAAAATATTTCCAAATTTATTGTGACTTTGAGACTAAGTCAGCTCTGGAAGGATTAAATCTTTTTCAAGCTAAATCTTTTTTTATTTCTTTAAAAAGTACAAATCTATTAACAGTGTTAGTGCTGATAATTACACAAAGACTATCTACAATTTGCCATTCCAGGAATAAAAATGAAGTCTAGCTTGATCATTTTTGATATTTAGTGCAAAGGCCAAGTTTTAGACAGTAGTATGTATGAGCAGCTGTGAAGACACAATGCAAAGAATTCATCAATCCTGAAACAAAATGTATTCCCCTCCCCCTTTTAGGTCCTGCTGTAAAACGAAGCATAAAGCCAAACATACTTTTTGCTGAAATCATAGAATCATAGAATCATAGAATATAAGGGTTGGAAGGGACCCCAGAAGGTCATCTAGTCCAACCCCCTGCTCGAAGCAGGACCAATTCCCAGTTAAATCATCCCAGCCAGGGCTTTGTCAAGCCTGACCTTAAAAACCTCTAAGGTAGGAGATTCTACCACCTCCCTAGGTAACGCATTCCAGTGTTTCACCACCCTCTTAGTGAAAAAGTTTTTCCTAATATCCAATCTAAACCTCCCCCACTGCAGCTTGAGACCATTACTCCTCGTTCTGTCATCTGATACCATTGAGAACAGTCTAGAGCCATCCTCTTTGGAACCCCCTTTCAGGTAGTTGAAAGCAGCTATCAAATCCCCCCTCATTCTTCTCTTCTGCAGGCTAAACAATCCCAGCTCCCTCAGCCTCTCCTCATAACTCATGTGTTCCAGACCCCTAATCATTTTTGTTGCCCTTCGCTGGACTCTCTCCAATTTATCCACATCCTTCTTGAAGTGTGGGGCCCAAAACTGGACACAGTACTCCAGATGAGGCCTCACCAATGTCGAATAGACATTCTGTGGTCTGGTGTGGTGACTTGGCCCTCTGGTCACACTGAAGTCCCCCCCACACACACACACACACACACACCTTCTGGACTATGCAGAGTCCAAACCAAATCACAAGTAAGCCAGCAGTATACTAAATAAAGTTTGCAAAAGAGAAAAGGAAAAAAAGGTTAACTACCCTTTAAAAGCAAACACTGATATAGCTCAAGCGAAAACCAAATGAATGGAATGACACAGAACTTGTTTATGGCCCTGATCCAAAACTAATTGAAGTTGATTGAAGTCAGTGGGAGTCCTTCTGTCAGCTTTGGAACAGCCCTCACTTCCCCACATTGCCACAATGATTTAAGACCTAATTCTTCAAAGTACTTAAATACATGTCTACCTTTAAGTATGTGCAGGTTGTTGTAGCTGTGTTGTTCCTAGGATATGCAAAGTAGATGAGGGAATATCTTTTATTGGACCAACTTCTGTTGGTGAAAGGTACAAACTTTTAAACCATGCCATGAAGTCAAATGAGAAACATGCAATGGGACTGTCACAGACTGATTTCAATACATTAAAGAGCCCTTATCCTTCAACCCTGATTTGGGGATCAAAGGAAGATTAAAAAATTCTCTGGCTTAATTAGACATTTTTGGCCCTAGGGAGAGCATGCTTGATAGCTCTGTGGCAAGGCTTTGGTTGTACATTGGGCCATGCAATCTAATGACAAATATGCAATGGCAATACAGTAGAGTGATTTCATACAGTCAAGTGCCTTCCTCCTTCATCTCTGACTTGGGGCTCAAAAGAAAACTATAAACTCTACAGGAAATGTTGAAAGCAAACAAATAGGTGAGTTTTGATTTACTGGTTTATATATTTGCAAGTTTTGTACTGGTGTGAAACTTCCTTATTTTGTAGCCAAAAATTTCCTCTTCTTCTCATTTATAATTGCTGTGGAACTGTGGCAGCATGACCTCCACTGTACCCTCTTGTGGCCCCATGTAGCGCGGTGCAGCTGAGGTTCTACCTCTGATTCTCCAAATTCACATTCTTCCCTTATTTTAAGGGTCAGTCAAGATGCCTGCTTTCTCCACCAGTGTAGATAAGCTTACTGTCTTGGAGCATCCCTTATGGGGTTGCAGCCACTCTGCCTCTCTCGCACCTTTGGAGTTTCTGTGGTCTGGTGTGGTGACTTGGCCCTCTGGTCACACTGAAGTCCCCCCCCCACACACACACACACACACCTTCTGGACTATGCAGAGTCCAAACCAAATTCAAAGGAACAAACCCTTCCACGCTGCCAGGGCTCAGTCCTCAGCAGACTCCACCCCTTTCTCCAGGGGCAATAAAAGTGGGAGGTGTGGGGGGCAGACAGTGCTAGTGCCCCCACAGTGGAAATATTGTGGGGGCTCAGGTCTCATGTAAACTAATGCATGTGTGGGAGTGGTGGAAGTGTGACCACAGGGGTGCCCAGGATCAGGATGAAATAGCAGGTAGGAACTGCTGGGACCCCTCTTTCCAGCCTGCCCCTGCCATCAAGTCTCAATAGTTCCACTCACTCTCCCTCTGTCCCCCACATTCACAGAGAGCTTCCACTCCCAGACTCTGCAGAGCTCCATCCTGGGACTTTCTTCCTATATCCCAGCTTCTGTCAGGCTGCTGACAACTCAAGGCTTTCACTCTGGGGTCTTTTCCCTTGTCTGGTTCTCTCCAGGATAGGTTCTTTCCCTGGTCTACCCTAGGCCATTTGTCTGGAGGAGGTTGTCTTTCTCCCAGGCCTACTTCTGGAGTCTCCCTTACCTCTGCTGCCCTCTCACTTCCAGGCCAGTCCCACGTGGTAAGATACTGTCTGCATCTCCTCTGTGGTTCTTTTCCCAGCAAGACGAAACACCAAACCATTTCTCCCTGCAGCCTCCTTTCTAACTCTCCTGTCTTCTCTTTTAAGTTCTTCTCCTTCCCACCTGACTCCTTCTCCAATTGTATCAGCTGTTCATTAGAAAAACCCTTTCAGAAAAACTTCCCAGATCAGCCCCAGCCAATTGTCTGGGGTGTGGACCAGCCCCACCCCCTTAAAGGGGCCAAGTCACCCCATGACTGAAACCCAAAAGTGTACTAGAAGCTTTTAAACTACAAATAGCCCTTTCTAGCTGGGAGAGCAATACACTTGGATTGCTCTCTAAGAAGTGAAAGAAACTTTTCTCTTAGAATGGTGAGGAAAAATTCCCAACCGGAGGATGGTCCACTATTTCCTCCAGTTTCTACTGCTGTGTAGGTACTTGACCCTCTCAAAACTGTAGTCAATGGACTTTGGATCAGGTGGGCAAACATGTTATCTTGTAACTATAGACCTGATTCAGCAAAAACACTTAAGCATATGCTTAACGCTAAGCACATGTGGAAGTGCTATGCTAAACTGAGCCATGAATGCAGAAATATTATTGAATCATAAATAACATTCAGTTGATTATACAAAGCCTACCAAAAGTCTGTTGCTACTGAACAAACTTGCACAGCACAGAAGAAAGCAGCAAGCTGAGAGCAAGAAGACATGGAGTCTGGTCAGGGAGAAGTTTGCAAAGTTGGAAATCGGAGAAAGACTTGCTGAAAATCTCTGGGTAAGGATAAAAAAGGTAAAAAACGAGGGTGATGTCATGGTAGGCCTCTACTACAGACCACCTAACCAGGAAGAAGAGGTGGGTGAGGCTTTAATTTAAACAACAAAATAATCCAAAGCACAGATCTTGGTGGTGATGGGGGACTTCAACTACCCAGACATCTGCTGGGAAAATAACACAGCAGGGCATAAATTATCCAACAAGTTCTTGGAATGTATTGGAGACAATTTTTTATTTCAGAAGGTGGAGAAAGCTACTAGGGGAGTGCCTGTTCTAAACTTGATTTTGACAAATATCAAATAGGGAGGAACTGATTGAGAATTTGAAAGTGGAAGGCATTTGGTGAAAGTGATCATGAAATGGTAGAGTTCATGATTCTGAGGAATGGTAGGAGAGAAAACAGCATAATAAAGATCATGGATTTCAAGAAGGCAGACTTTAGCAAACTCAGAGTTGGTAGGTAAGATAGACTTGCTTCCCATGGTAAGGGGAAAAATGATTCAGTGATTTTATAAGTTGTTTGCTAAGATGCAGATCTATTTGTTCTTGCCCCCTTTCCTTACCAAAGATAGCAACTTGATGGGTGAGGGCCCATAGGCTTTGACACCTCACTGGGCATCAACTTATCCTTTGTCTTTGAGAAACAGGTTTACCTACTCCCCAGACCTGTCTGGTAAACACACTTCAGTGATGATTTCATCTTATCTTCACAACTCCACATATAATGTTATGCACATTTTACCACAATATTATTGACCAGTGAGTTATTAGTTTTCAAATGACATGTCACGCGATGTATTTTGTACAAAAATTATTACAGTAGCATGTAGGGTGTGAGTACAGGGGTGCATTCGGTCCCACCAGTTTCCTTAAAGAGGCCAAGTGTGGGGGGAGTTCTCCAAAGGCTGGTGACTAAAAGGAATCCTCTCTCCAACTGACAGTAGAGGGACTGCAGAGCCACTCTGTAGCCACAGTCTGGCTGGAGGAGGAGTTGATGGTGTCCACCTTATAACTTTTCCCTAGTGGTTAGTGCACTCTCCCCTTGGATGTGGGAGAGACAGATTTCATTTTCCCCCTTTGTCTGATGAGTAGAAGGAATTTGAACAGAGCCTCCCATCTCTTAGAAGAGTGTTCTAACCACTGAGCCGTGGAACATTCTGGACAGTCTGATGTGGATCACCGGCAGACTCTCATGTTGAAGTTGGTCCACTGTGGATTGAACTATGAAAGAGTCCTGGGGGGAGAGGGCAAGTAAAGAGCAAGCAAGAGAGACAGACTCTGTAGCCTGGTGGATAAGGAACTCACCTGGGAGGTAGATGACCCAAGATCCAGTCTCCCTACTCAAATGACTGTAAGTATTTATCCAAAATGGAACTGCTTCACCAGCAGAGACTGAGGGTAACCCACATCAGATTATCCTATATCTCAATAGTTAGCACACACTCCTGGGAGGTAGGACTTGGCTAAAAGTTATCCGATGGACTCCTCCTTTGGCTGTTTTGTGTGAGATAAGCACCTAACCCACCTGACTCCGGGATGGGGGTTCCCAGTTGTAGATCTGTAGCATAGATACAGGTTTCAGAGTGGTAGCCGCGTTAGTCTGTATCAGCAAAAATAACAAGGAGTCTTTGTGGCACCTTAGAGGCTAATAAATTTATTTGGGAACAAGCTTTCATGGGTTAGAACCCACTTCATCAGATGAATGGAGTGAAAATACAGAAGCAGGTATAAATACATGAAAGGATGAGGGTTGCTTTACTAAGTCAGTCTAACGAGAAATCAATTAACAGCAGGATACCCAGGGAGGAAAAATAACTTTTGAAGTGGTAAAAGAGTGGTCCACTACAGACAGTTGACAAGAAGGTGTGAGTAACAGTAGAGAGAAATTAGTATTGTAACGACCCAACCACTCCCAGCCTCTATTCAGGCTTAATCTGATGGTATCCAGTTTGCAAATTAATTCCAGTTTTGCAGCTTCACACTGGAGTCTGTTTTTGAAGGTTTTTTGTTGAAGAATTGCCACTTTTAGGTCTGTTCGCCTACTGGTTTTTGAATGTTATGATGCTTGATGTCAGATTTGTGTCCATTTATTCTTTTGCGTAGAGACTGTCCGGTTTGGCCAATGTACTTGGCAGAGGGGCATTGCTGGCACATGATGGCATATATCCCCCAGGTTCCCATCTGCATCTTTAGGAACTTACTGTTAAAAATATGTCCCTTAGCCTAAATTCCATCCTATTTAGGCTCTGAAGTCTCCTAAGCACTTTGAAAATTTTAGCCCAGATTTGCGCAAAAAAAAAAAAAAAAAAAAAAATTACGTATTTAGCTGATGCTTCCATGACATATGTGATGATGACACAAAATAAGGGTAGGGTGGACTGACTGGGGTTAGAGCAGGTGTCTTAAAATATATTTGTAAAGCACTTATGGCACCTATATCGGACTCTTCATTATTATCTTTAATTAACAATAGAAACTGCACAGTTATAAAAACTATCTTCTGAACATTCATATTCCTGCTTGGTGCTATTAAACCAGTGGACCACAAGATGGCATAAGGGATTTATCTGCACAAACAAACTTGCAAAATTCCTTTGTCAGTTTCATTATAGAACTGTTAAATATTTAAGCTATAATTACTTCAGTTCAGAATAATTTGTTATGGTTCACTGCTTGCAGGATAAGTTAACGTCTATTATGTTTCATTTTTGTTTAGTTATGTTGTTGGTTCATGGAACTTTATGGAGACAAAGGTGGTGTTTATTTTAAAAAAAGAGATAAACTACAACAGCAAGAGTAAAAAACCGTGATTTAAATGCTTGCAGAACACTTGATTAAAGAATGAAGAAAATGTAATCAGGCATATTACAGGAAACACTATAATCATGAAAACAGGATTTGACTTCATAGTCTTATTTACAGAAGTCAGCAAGTACGTTCACTAGGGTAACAGAATCTTATGGAAAAGTCAGAATTAACATGTAAATTAACAAAACAAAATGAATGCCAGACAACTTGATAACTATAACAAAAATATAATCTATGAACTGTTTTAGAAACATTAATATCAATGCCAAATATTTTATATAACAGATGTGTAGTTAAATCAAATTTCAGTCCCAATGTCACACCAACTTTCGTAAAAAAAAATTAACCCAATTTTATATGTGCTCTTTCTTCTGCAACTGAAAATGTGAGATCACAAAAATAAAGCTTTTTCCTCTTCTTAACCATAATTGTTCTTTAGTTAGCACACATAATAAACTGCTGTTTGTGAGTGATGTTAGAGAGAACTGGTCTGGACGCAAACATAAAGAGGAATAATGTCCCAGCTTTTGTTGTTGTCATGGCAATTACCTGACTATGTTTGCTCCTGTACGGCTGGTCAGACTAATTCTCATCTTATATGGAGATAAGCATAAATGATTGAGAATGGAAGTTCAGAGTGCACCTGAAATCCATACAGAAGTGTGCACCTATGATCCTTTGCTGCCCAAAAAGTGCAATGCAAAGGAGAGAGAACGAAATCCATCCCACCCTCGGGATTTGGGGTCTGTGAATGTCAAGTGCAGAGCAGCTGGCGTGTGGAATCCATCCTCATCCCAGGGCCAGACTGCAAGACTACTGGGCAGTCCCCAGCAATTGCTGTTCCAGCCTTCTGTGTAGATTGTGAATTTGACTTTATCCCCACACAGGGAGTAAGAGACACCCCTTACACTACCTAGAGCTTGGTCTGGGGTGCTGTGCCCCTTACTTACTCCCTCAAACTTGGAATATAGGGACAGGAGTAGGAATATTGTAGTTTGCTGCTGATGCAGGTCAGCAACAAATTATTAAGCTCTTGGAGCAAGGATGGGAACTGTACTTTAGAGGGATGGTTCTAAGTGCCTTCAAGGGCTATTCCTCTACTAGCGCATTTTACAGCTTCAGGATTGTGTCTAAAGACACAATCTAGCCCCTATCTCTTGCTCATAGTGTTGAACAAATGAACTACAGGCTTGTTTCTTAAATACATGGGCAGCAGTCTATTAACATTTATTTTAATCATCCCTATATTTAGGAGAAAAAGAAAAAGTAATTGGATCACAGGTAAGGATAATTTCTCTCATTAATGACAATTTCATTGGCTGTCTTTTTTTCCATTGAAAAAATATTAACAATATTAGGGGCTTGATATTGAAAAGTAGGGTCCATTTTTGCAGGCACCACTTTGTGCACCCCAAATAATGATACCCACAAATGTTGATTTTTAGATTTCTGCACCTGTAAACCATGCCCTTGTAAATCCAACTGCACCTGCAGATCCTGCCCACAGACATCTAGTCATGTGCTTGAACTATGTCTGACACGGTAGCATTAGCCCTTGCAATTAACAGCAGGTTCACTTATTTGCACTCACAAAAAATGGAAGCTGAGTTGGAAGTCTTTTTAAAAGGCAGGCCCTTTGCCATAGCTAGACATGTCTGTGTGTTATGCAGAAATAAAGGCTTAAAGAATTAAATGTGGAGTTTTGTGCTTGTGAAGCCTAAACATTCTTCAGTTTCCAACCTCCTCTTGTATAGAAAAGAAAAAAAAAGTTACACGTGTTTGTTTCCTCTCTCTTTCAGCACCCTTTGCCCCCTCCAAGGTAAGCGTTCTAACATAGAACATGTATGCGTTTCCTTAATAGCTTTTTGGGGGGTGGTTAAGTAAAGTCATAATAAAACTAGTACACAAGCCCACCCCAATTAGTCATATCAATAAAATGTTTGGAGGTGAATTTACACATTATCATCTAATTAGTATTATTGGGACATTCCTACATTCTAAAACTAAGTTGGGTGCTAGGCAGAACAAAGGATTAGGTTCAGAAGCTTTGTACCTAGGACCCAGTCCTGCATCATTGAAGATAATGGGACATTTGCCATTGACTTGAATGAGAGAAGGATAAGGCCCCTAGTCAGGAAACCTGGGGTCTGATCCAGCTCCCACTGAAGTCAATGGAAAGATTCCTGTTGACTTCCGTGATTGCTGGATGAAGCCCCAGGGTTCTGTTCAATAGAACAATATTGCATTTTAATGACTGGTAACATTTTCCTTTTATTAATTTGCTTCATATACTCCAGACCTAAATCCTGCTCTTGTGGAACTTCGATAGGAATTTTTGTCATTTACTTTCATGACAAATGGATTGGGCTCTACTCTGCTAATATAAAGCAATTTTTTTATCTTGTATTTCAAAATCAATTTTCCCTTGTTGGTCCTTTTGTTTTCATCTAAGATTAACAATCATTATAAATAAAATATACTTTTGAAAGGACTGCCAAGCTGATTTTACTACACATACAGTGAATGCCATTAAAAGTATAAATAGCTTTGCAAACCATTAGTATTGCTGCAGTATTCATAATATTCCCTAAATTAAATATAGGGAATACAACTAATACTACAGTAAATGTATATCCTAGTAAACTCAAAGTCATACAAATGTAGTGATTTCAGTGTTCAACACTGTTTAAATATTAGTATATTTGTTATAGTTTGTGCTGTGGTAGTGTTGAGGATCCTTCATCGTGGACCGGGACCTCATTGTGGTAGGCCCGGTACTGTGTCCTGGTCATGTAATGGTAGGATTGCATCTAGAGGTCCTGACTAAGATCAGGGCCCTACTCAGCTAAGCATTGTCCAAATATATAATAAGAGATAGTCCTAATAAAATCCCAGTGCTCTACATGGGCAACCTGCAATTACTAGACTGTTTTATGTCCTCTTTACATCCTAATAGCTCTTCAAATTCAATTTTTGACTTTAGGCCTCCTAAGACACTTCCAAAGAAATATCAGCCACTTCCCCCAGAACCGGAGAGAGGCAACCAGCTGTCTCAAACAAGGAAAATATGTAGTCAGGCTCACACATTTCCAATGTCAGCAAAGAACACCAGGTAATGGTTACTAAGCATGTTTGTTTCCTTTTCTGTTCACCTTGCCAAGGACAAATTTTTGAGTCTCAGATACATTGTGTAAGAAAGACCTGAAAGTTTGAAACAGACCAAAATATGAAACCTGGACCCCTGACTGTATTAAAGAAAATGCCACTTCTTTAGCAGCCTTGAATTATTTTTATAAAGAGTAGCTTATGTTAGCTTAAGCTGATATTAACACTAAAAGCAAAGTGGGATGGTTTAGTCTGCGGAAGAGAAGAATGAGAGGGGATTTGATAGCTGCTTTCAACTACCTGAAAGGAGGTTCCAAAGAGGATGGATCTAGGCTGTTCTCAGTGGTAGCAGATGACAGAACAAGGAGGAATGGTCTCAAGTTGTAGTGGGGGAGATTTAGGTTGGATATTAGGAAAAACTTTTTCACTAGGAGGGTGGTGAAACACTAGAATGCATTACCTAGGGAAGTGGTGGAATCTCCTTCCTTAGAAGTTTTTAAGGTCAGGCTTGACAAAGCCCTGGCTGGGATTATTTAGGTGGGGATTGGTCCTGCTTTGAGCAGGGAGTGGGACTAGATGACCTCCGGAGGTCCCTTCCAACCCTTATATTCTATGATTCTGGGAAAAACAGAGCCAATTAGAAAAATGGGTGGAATTTTCATGAAAATTCTTGTGAAAATTTTGTCCCACTTCTTTCACTGAAATTTTGAAAATGACCAGCCATCTCTAAGTATAATAATTGTTTTTGTTTAACACAGATGGTGGACACAGTGGTATGCAAGCACAGAGAACGAGGTCCCTTCCAACCCTGATATTCTATGATTCTATGAATAAAACACAATCCCTGCCCCAAGGATCCTACTGTGTAGAGAGTAGTTCAGTCACATTTCCAGTCAGTTCTTGGCAGCCCTCCTGAATAGGGTGACCATACACCCCGTTTTGGCGGGGAGAGTCCCTTGTTTAAGCCCTGTCCCGTCCATCCCGATTTTTTTTTTCAAAAGGAGGCATTTGTCCTGTTTGCTCTTGCTGACTTGATCAGCTGGCAAGAGCAAATGGGACAAATGTCCACTTTTGTCAAAAAAGTGGTGTTCAGTATGGAGGAACATGTTGGGGGAGAGGGGAAGGCAAGTGGAGATGCCACCCCCATGCAGGGAAGAGGCACAGCTCGGGGGAGGCAGCATTCCAGCATGCTCGGGGCAGCAGGGTTCCAGCCACTGGGGCAAAAGTCTCCTGAGGGGGCCCCTGCAGGGGGCAACAGCCTTGCAGTGGGGGAGGGGGGCACACAGAGTTCCAGCGACAGGCAACAGCCTCATGGGGGTGGGGGCTTAGGCAAGCAGCTGGAGATGTCTTGTTTTCTCTGAGAAATATGGTCACCCTACTGCTGAACCTTCCAATAATAGTGCCAACTATGTTTAGTTTGAAGGGGACACAGAGTGCCAACTCATTTTACAAAGGACTACCCAGCAGTCCATCCCTATTCAACAAAGTACTTAAGCTTAAAATCAATGGAACTTAATCATATGCCTAAAGTTAAGGCCATACTTAAGTGCTTTGCTTCACAAAAATGGACTTAAGAACATGCTTATGTCTTTTTCTAAATGGTACCTAGGTGATTTTAAATAGGAGTTAGGCATCTAGATGCTCTGGAAAATTCTACAAGGCACTTATCTGCATCTTTAGGTGCATAAATACCTTAAAAACTCTGGTCATAAATCTGTTTTTAAATGGGACTTAGGCTTTGTCCATCAAATACAATTCATATGTAATCAAAAACAGATTTAAACTCTCCAGTGACAAAAGAGTAGGAAATCAATTCTGTTTTTGCACCTAGTCCAACTATTATATGAAATAAATAAAAGTTAATGTAAGAAATCTTGTAGAGCCACTCTCCCTCCCAACTATCCATGAGAGGTCACCTCTTCAGCAGGTGCATCGTCCACTGAAATCAAAAAGAGCTATTCCAGTGTGCATCAGCTGTAGCTCTGGAACAAAGAGCCAAAAGGCTGAACTTTAAGCTCATGCATAAATCCATTTCTATTCAGCAAAGCACTTCACTAGGACATTGACTTCAATAGGAGTTAATAGTTTTGCTGAATCAGGGCCTTGATGACTGTTGTCCACTTCTCTGTACTTGTTTGTATCTTGGGTTCCCCTTCTGCAGCCTTGTCTACACTACCACAGTAAATGGAGTTACCTAAGCTAAGTTAGTCAACGTAGCTTAGGTCGACTTACCATGGTTACCTAGGGAAGTGGTGGAATCTCCCTCCTTAGAAGTTTTTGGTGTCTACAGTGTGCTGCGTCAACTGGGGACGCTCTCCCGTCGACTTACCTTACTCTTCTCATTCTGCTTGAGTACCGGAATCGACCAGAGAGCGCTCTGCCATTGATTTAGCGGGTCTTCATTAGACCCGCTAAATCAACACCCACTGCATCGATTGCAGCAGCTCCGATCTACTGATAGTGTAGACATGGCCCTTCATTCTTCAGGGAACATATATTTATAGTTGAAATAAAAGTTAGTGATGTTTTTTGACAGGGTGGGAAAACTGTTTAGAAGAAATCTTGTAAGCATACAGATCTCCACCACCACATGCACATATATACTCCCAAAATATAAACATCTCAAATGGACATGTCTCATTTAGCATAATTAATTCCATTTATGCTACAGTTTTTATGGAAAACCCATAACTTTTTTCTCCAATTAATTTGTAGAAAATAAACAACTTCTGAATTTATATAGCAGTAAAACTCCTTACCATGGGTGATTCATTTTACTTTGATAATATCATCAACATATTTAAGTACTCAGAATTTTTATTTTACAATAATGAAATGTTTTGCATCTATTTCTTTCTTTTCTAGACACCTGGAGTTAAATGAAGTAAGTAGTAATCTTTGTATACATTATCAGCATAGAAAGTTAATAAAGACAAAATGTAGTAGTCTTAAAGCCACTGCTCCGTCAATGACAGATCCGTGTAAAGTTACTTGCTTAAATGAGATTTGTATACATGGTTTAAAGTTATCTTCCCGAGCATTTAGATAAGAATAGGAGTACTTGTGGCACCTTAGAGACTAACCAATTTATTTGAGCATGAGCTTTCGTGAGCCACAGCTCACTTCATCAGAGCTGTGGCTCACGAAAGCTCATGCTCAAATAAATTGGTTAGTCTCTAAGGTGCCACAAGTACTCCTTTTCTTTTTGCGAATACAGACTAACACGGCTGTTCCTCTGAAACCTTAGATAAGAATGTGTCTCATTCACGCAAACTGCTGTAGAGGTCTATGAAGGTTCAGCGGTACACACACATAAAAATTAGTAATTTTATTGCAGAAAAATATAAATTGTGCCCTTGTTCAACACATATTCTGAAAGACAGAAAACTGAAAACACAAGGATAGAGCTTGAAAAATAGGAATTTGCATTAATAAATGTTATAAAAATCAATAATAAGTAATAACTTCTCTATGGTTTGTGGGGGTTTTTAACTATCCTATAGGATTTTAAAAGAACATAATATCTACAATTCTATGCATCATTCAAATCCGTATAGAAAAGTTATTATTCTCTACTAAATCATATAGGTTTTACAGTAATTTTTATATTATACTACTACATTTCTATAACATTACATTTTATAGGATTTTTCTTTAATGTATTTTACAGTGTTGATTCTTCAAAATGTTCAATTTTCCTACGACTGGCAATCCTGACACCTGTCTAATAATAGTCTTTTTTTTTAAAAATGGGGAAATGAGGGACAATTGCAGTCCATACTGCCATGGGAATGTTTGCAGACTTTGGACGTTTGCTGCTACTCTGATGTACTAACTGCCACAGAATCACATCTGTCTTGGATTTCCCCACTATCCCATTCGTCAAATAAACTTCCTTATTAACCTTCTCAGATAAGAATGATGTAATCTGAAGGCTTGATTGTGCAACCATAAACTTTTTATAATAATTTGAAGTAGAAATAATCAAGAATACAAATTGCGGTATGAGAGCTGAAATTTTCTAGTTCCAACCAAGGTAAAAATACCTTGAGAATATTCTCTGTCTAGGGTTTTGCTATTTCATCCTCTACTACCTGTACACAACAGGAAGGTGAGCAGATGAAATAAATAAATAATAATAATCTTCCAGAAAGACCAACTTGGGGGGAAAATGGTCATTTTTTATTTTATCCATATGGAGTTCACCCAACCCCAATTATCTATAGGATTAATTTTTAAAAGCAGCTAATATATTTTTATCGACTCCACATTTATTTGCTGAATTATTACAAACCAGGTTATGATACAGTTACTTATTACAGCAGTTTACTGATGTCTAACATTCAGAACTGACGTGTTGGCAAGAAAGAAAAAGATGTTAGTATTTTTTGCTCTGGCTTCTCTTTGACATTTTGACTCATTACAGAAATAAAGTAATGAATATATTCTTAACAACAAATGGGAACCCATTCCAGTAATTAACCTACTCTGCTTGTACCCATGACAGCCACACTAATATTGGTGCAAAAATACTCATACTTAAGTTTAAAAAACAGAGGCCAGGTCTACACTGCAGATCTGTATCAATATAACTGTCGCTCCATGGTGTGAAAAATCCATACCCCTAAGCAGCTTAGTTATACCGACCTAACTCCCAGTGTAGACAGCGCTATGTCAACAGGAGAGCTTCTCCCATCAACATAGCTACCGCATCTTGCAGGAGTGGATTAACTACACCAACGGTGAAGTAGTATCTTCACTAGCCGTTACAGTGATGCATCTTCACGGGTGTACAATGTAGTGCTGTACATGAAGACAAGCTCAGATTTTCAGGACAAATGAGTGTTACACAATATGAAAAGAGATTTCAAATTAAATTACACTGTATTAATATAACCCCTATGACACAGATAGTGTGACTATAAACCCTTTTCCATTTATGAGCAATGAGAAAATGTAGTTAGGAAGTAATTTTTAATTAAGATTCAAAGTGCAAGGTGTATACTGATTGTAGAGGGTATTATCTTTTCTTTACTATTAATTTATGTTACTGAAGATACTCCTGTATGTTTAGTGGAAGAAAGTAACATCAAAATCACATAAAAGTCAAATTCCCATGGATGCAATTTAACTGACTTCAATGGAATTACTCCAGGGATGAATTTGATCCATTATGTTTATTATAGCAATTATTATTGTTTCAATTTTTGCACCATAGTATGTCCTGGTCAATACTGTTCATACAATACATTTTTAATGAAAGATAATCGCGCTATCAATGAGGTAGGCTCAAAAGAAAAATCCAGTTTTACTTAGAAGCATTTTATTTCGGTGCTTGATTTAATGGAAGATTAATTATGGAAACACCTGGCTAAATGCTAATCTCAGTTACACAGGCACAACATGGCTCACTTCATAAAGGTTGTAATGTTACTGTGAGCAGAATTTGATCCACTGTTTCAGTGAGCCCATTACCGGGACAAACTATGCTTTTAGTTACACCACTATATAAATCCAAAGTTCAGTGATGTTGGTGGAATTATGATCAGAATTTAGCTTGTGATTATATCAAAGTAAACATGTCATTTATATATATACACTTATATCCATATATGGATACATCCATCATGCCAATTTTTAAATCAAGATTTTTCTAAGATCTGCTCTAGTTGAAACAGGAATTCAGGGAAGTTCTATGGCATTTTTTATGCAAGAGATCAGACTAGATGATCACAATTGTCCTTTATGACCTTGTAATCAATGAATCTATGAGTATGCAGTTCATCACATAAGACATATATAGAAGGTTAATTCAAGTTGTATAGTTACTAATACTGAGGGCCTAATCCAGCTCTACTGAAGTCAATGGGAAGACTCCCAGTTATTTCAATGGGCTTTGGATCACTGCCCACTGAGGATGATTTGAAATATTGCTCCTTATCTTGCTCTCAGTCAAGAAATGGCAAAATTCCCCAACCACTTCACTGAATAAAGGAAGATTGGACAAATGACCAGGGAGGAGTATAAAAATATTGCTCAGGTATGCAGGAGTGAAATCAAGGCCAAATCACACTTGGAGTTGCAGCTAGCAAGGGATGTTAAGAGTAACAAGAAGGGTTTCTACAGGTATGTTAGCAACAAGAAGGTGGTCAAGGAAAGTATGGGCCCCTTACTTAATGGGAGAGGCAACCTAGTAACAGAGGATGTGGAAAAAGCTAATGTACTCAATGCTTTTTTTGCCTCTGTCTTCATGAACAAGGTCAGCTCCCAGACTACTGCACTGAGCAGCACAGTATGGGGAGGAGGTGACCAGCCCTCTGTGGAGAAAGAATTGGTTCAGGACTATTAGAAAAACTGGATGAGCACAAGTCCATGGGGCCAGATGCGCTGCATCCGAGAGTGCTAAATGAGTTGACAGATGTGATTGCAGGGCCATTAGCCATTATCTTTGAAAACTCAAGGCAATCGGGGGAGATCCGGATGACTGGAAAAAGGCTAACGTAGTGCCCATATTTAAAAAAGGGAAGGAGGAGGATCCAGGAAACTACAGGCCAGTCACCCTTACCTTGGTCCCTGGAAAAATCATGGAGCAGGTCCTCAAGGAATCCATTCTGAAGCACTTAGAGGAGAGAAAAGTGATCAGGAACAGTCAGCATGGATTCACCAAGGGCAAGTCATGCTTGACTAATCTAATTGCCTTTATGATGAGACAACTGGCTCTGTGGATGAGGGGAAAGCAGTGGACGTGTTGTTCCTTGACTTTAGCAAAGCTTTTGATACGGTCTCCCACAGTATTCTTGCCAGCAAGTTAAAGCAGTATGGGCTGGATGACTGGACTATAAGGTGGATAGAAAGCTGGCTAGATTGTCAGGCTCAACAGGTAGTGATCAATGGCTCCATGTCTAGTTGGCAGCCAGTATCAAGCGGAGTGCCCCAAAGGTCGGTCCTGGGGCCAGTTTTGTTCAATATCTTCATTAATGATCTGGAGGATGGCGTGGACTGAGCCCTCAGCAAGTTTGCAGATGATACTAAACTGGGAGGAGTGGTAGATATGGTGGAAGGTAGGGATAGGATACAGAGGGACCTAGACAAATTAGAGGATTGGGCCAAAAGAAATCTGATGAGGTTCAACAAGGACAAGTGCAGAGTCCTGCACTTAGGACGGAAGAATCCCATGCACCGCTACAGACTAGGGAATGGCTCAGCTGCAGTTCTGCAGAAAAGGACCTAGGGGTTACAGTGGACAAGTAGCTGGATATGAGTCAACAGTGTGCTGTTGTTGCTAAGAAGGCCTATGGCATTTTGGGCTCTATAAGTAGGGGCATTGCCAGCAGATCGAGGGACGTGATCTTTCCCCTCTATTCGACATTGGTGAGGCCTCATCTGGAGTACCGTGTCCAGTTTTGGGCCCCACAGTACAAGAAGGATGGGGAAAAATTGGAAAGTGTCCAGTAGAGGGCAACAAAAATGATTAGGGGACTGGATGGAACACATGACTTATGAGGAGAGGCTGAGGGAACTGGGATTTTTTTAGTCCACAGAAGAGAAGAATGAGGGGGGATTTGATAGCTGCTTTCAACTACCTGAAAGGGGGTTCCAAAGAGGATGGATCTAGACTGTTCTCAGTGGTACCAGATGACAGAACAAGGAGGAATGGTCTCAAGTTGCAGTAGGGAAGGTTTAGGTTGGATATTAGGAAAAATTTTCATTCGGAGGATGGTGAAGCACTGGAATGCATTACCTAGGAAGGTGGTGGAATCTCCTTCCTTTGAGATTTTTAAGGTCAGGCTTGACAAAGCCCTGGCTGGGATGATTTAGTTGGGGATTGGTGTGTCTCTAATGTAGTTGCACCAGGCATGCATCTGACTTACCAAGTAGTATATTTGGCCCAAGTGAGGTATGCTAAATCACACCTGTCCTGTGGTAAGAAGCAGGTGGAGCAAACAAATATAAAAAATAGTATATTATTGTCACTGAAAGCTTCCAATATTCACTATCTATTTTATCATTCTATATAGGCACCTGGAAAAGGAAGAGGTTAGTACTTAACAGTATATTGCAGATTCCCTGTTTTTTCCTTCTTATTGTAAGAACAACAAATTCTGGGCCAAATCTTCAAATAGTGTAAACTGGTGTCATCTTTTGAATTCATCTTTTGAATACAGCAGCCGAGGGTCTGGTCTTATATTCCGATTATTTCTTTTAGAATGAAAGTGACAGCCAAAATTTCATAGTGGATGATGCATAAAAGTAGAGTATTAAACTAAAGCCTTCATGTATACAACATGAAGAAGAGAAGAGAGAAGTTTAGAATACCTGTACAGTGATGGAAAGCTTATCTGGAGAAGGACTCTAAAATGGAACTAACAAAATCTCTCTGTGTAACAACAGTATCACACTTACTTCTCATGTCAAATCTAATTTAAGGCTTGGATTTCTCAAGGAGCCACAGGCCAGATTTTTGAAGACATTTAGATGTCTATAGATGTAGATGGGCACATGGTGGGATTTACAGAAGCACCTAGGCAGCTAACTTCCATTGATTTCAGTGGGAGTTAGACCCTTTGTGGCATTATCAAAAACCTATCTGTCTCTCTAGGTCCCTTTATACCTTTAAAAGTTTGCCCCCAGGTACCCAACTTGTATTGAATTCTAATGGATTTGGGTGCCCCTCTCATTTAGGGTGCTTTCAAATTCCTACCTGAAAAAGCATAAATACTTCAAAGTAACAAGAAGATACATTGTTCATTCCCTGACATTTATACCTCCATATGACAGAGTTCCTTACTTTTTGGGGGGCCTGATTTCTTTCCCTTTGAGGTCAATGGCATAATTCTCATTGACTTACACAGAAAACAGCATTGGTCCATTAACATGAGGATTAATTCCACCCATCTGTTACAGGGAGAGAAGGATATTTTGTATTCTTCTAGGGAGCATTCTGCATTACTTACCTTTACATTACTCCTTGTTTGGTATCAGGAAAGCTTCTGATGTTACCTTGTAAACTATATGCCAGTCAGCTCTGGAATAAATTATTCCCATTTATGTCAATAGTTTAGCTCATTTACATCAGGGATGAATTTGGCCCATTAGCTTTTTTTACTGAATCACTTTGTAGTATACATGAATATAGATTAATTTCCTTCTTTCATTACTGTGATTAGGTGCATTCTTACTTGTATTTAGTGCTGTGCAATTTACATGCGTAAAGGAATAATATGTTCTTATTTATGAAATTCCAGATATCAGCAGGGAAGTTGAATTATCTTTCCAAACACGACAGCAAAAAACAAAATATCCTGCATCCAGGTAGGAATATAAGAATTGCATGAGCTTGTACTAGATGGTTCAGAAGAAATAAAAACCCCTACACCTGGAAACCTATGCAGTACCATACCACAGAGGCATGATTACTTTCTAATACCATTATGTAATTACACCCTGAAACACGACATTTGATGGTCATTGTAATTTTAATTCAAGCTATTGTAACTACAGATGCTCTTCCTATTTATAGTCTTACTGAATTCAGTGCTTCAATAATAACTTATGACAGTGAGTTTCATATATTATGTAAAGAAGAAATTTTCTTGTATATTCTCTGTATTTTGTTCCCTGTTCCTTTCATTGGAAGGTGCCTTGTTCTTCTTAATAAGGAACATCTTTTTGGCCTTCTCTAGACAAGTCACTGTTATATAGATCTGTTATAATTTTTCTGTCTTTTCCCCATTCTAACCCTCATAAGCCTTTTCAACCTCTCTTTGAATACCACTCATACCCCCTTTCTCAATTATTTTTGACACACAAAAAGACGGGGTAGGGAAATTTGAAGTATATAATGATTTAACTTTTGTCCTTCAAAAGATACCATACTAGCATTTTGTACTCACCGACTGTTAATGGTTCACAAAACAGGTCCTATTTTTTTTCAACTACTTGAGGAGAAAGGTATTATACAGTATGAGTAAGTGTGGCAGAACATAGCCCTTAATTGTTTGTGACTAGAATCTTGGTTTATGGAACCAGTGGTCCTGTAATTTGCAATTATTCAGTCAAGGTCCTTTCAAATTAAAGAATGTTAAAGACATACAGGTCCTGATCCAATGCCAACTGAAGTCAATAGACTCCCATTGCATTGGAACCAGCCCATAGATTTCACAGATACTAGCAAAGACCAGGCTTTATTCAACTAAGGAGTCTTCCAAGCAGTGAATACACATAGGTGACTGGTAACTGCTGATAGTGTGGGGGCACGACAAGCCACCCCTCGCCACCATCAACTTCCTGGTGACTGCCAAGGCACCATCCAGCAACACCCTCTTGACCATGTCGCCCCCCCCTGACCATGGTACCCTGGGCAGCTGATATGTCGCCCACCCTTAAGGCCAGCCCTGGCAGGTCCAGTCTTAGGAAAAATGGTGTCCTGGGCAAACTTGTATTTTGGTGCCCTGACCCCTGCTGCCTTCCTCCGGACCTTCACCCCTCCCCATTGCCTCTGGACCATGCTGCCTCCCCCCGTCCTCCAATTTCCTCTGGCCCCCCACTGCCTCCCCAGACTCCCCACCCACGACCATCACCCTGGCTCCTACTGCCTCCCTGGACTTCCCACCCACCCACGACCATCACCCCGCCTCCCCTGGATCCTGCTTCCTCCCTCCCCCACCCCCATTACTCCAACTGACTCCCCAAGCTCCCTTCTGCACACCCCAGGATAGTCCACATATGTACTTGAGCAGATAAGTGTGGCTGCCAGGAGGATTGAGGGCGGGGGGACATGTGACCTCCCCCTGTCCTCCGATGCCTATGCATGTGCAGCAAGCTCAATACACATTAGGATTTGATTTCAATAGCACTATTTGAGATTTGTGGCTAAAATTCAAGATACAAATGAGTAAAACCAGTTTAAGCCAAAAATCCCATGGGAAACTTTGACCAATGCACAAATGTTGGTTTAAGGAAATGTTCCTGTTCAGAGACACATGCAGGGGTTCCCTAAAATACAATCATGCAGAGGTATGAGAGTCCATAATGTTTTTCCCCTGTATTACAGAGGTAGTCCTCCGTCAATGATGTGTCATAGGTTGTTTACATTAGGATTGAATTTGGCACAGTGACTTTACTGCCAAAAATTCAAGCTTAACTTGATTTCTGAAAAATCAAGCTGTGGCTTTCTTTTGCTTGATACAGAGTCACCCTTGTGACCTGTGTGAATCCAAGTGAAACTTGATTGAGTTGCACTTTGTATTTGAGATCATTCAAACCTAAAACTCAGAGCAAAAGTCAGGGGATGTGAATCCATAAGAAGCACAAACTGATGGAAAAGTTTTATGAACCCCCACAAACTGAGATAACCAACTATCACATATAGAGAGGAGAGCAACAAAAATGACTAAAAGGTCTAGAAAACGTGACCTATGAGGAAAGATTGAAAATATGGGTTTCTTTAGAGAAGACTGAAGGAGTATATGATAACAGTCTTCAAGTATGTAAAAAGTTATAAAGAGGAGAGTGATAAATTGTTCTCCTTATCTGCTGAGGACAGGACAAGTAGTAATGGGCTTAAATTGCAGCAAGGAAGATTTAGGCAAGACATGGGGAAAAACTCCCTAACTGTAAGGGTAATTAAGCACCTGAACAAGTTACCTATGGTGGTTGTGGAATATCTATTACTGGAGGTTTTTAAGAACGGGTTAGATAAACACCTGTCAGGCATGGTCTAGATCAGTGGTTCTCAATCCATAGGCCACTTGCGGCCCAATCAGAACAAAGCTGAGGCTCAAGTGACATTCTCAGGGCCATACAGGTAATATATATATATATATATATATATATATATATATATATTGTGTAGATGCAACCCACATAACACAGAGAGCTGCATATGCGGCCCATAATGGTAAATCGGTTGAGAATCACTGGTCTAGATCATTCTTAGTCCTGCCTCAGTGCAGGGGATTGGACTAGATGACCTATCAAGGTCCCTTCCAGTCCGGCATTTCTATGATTCTATATTATCACCAAATTTAGAACATGATCCAAAGCCAATGGAGAGATTACCATTAAACAGGCTTTGAATGAGGCCCTATTATTTACCAATTACAGTGCAGAGTTGTTCCCTATAGTATAGTTTTTATTGCTTTAGCCAATCGTTTTTTTATAAAAAAATTCTGAAGCGATGAGTCTTCCACTTTTCTAATCCATGGTATATATGTGTGAGCAGTCTCTGTCTTTAATATATACAGCATACTGTGACCAGAGTCCCAATGGGGGCCAGCTATGATCACTCAATTAGGGTGAACTGCAAAGAATGGGGCAGACAGTCCCTAGAAGCTGGTGGATATTCCAATACTTAGATTTACCAAGCCAGTATAAAACAGCTTCTTTATTACCTTACTGGTTACTCAGAAGTCCAAACAACACAGTTTCCTTAAAGTGATCCAGCCACCTAAGTCAAATATGAAGATTCCTGAAAATCTTATTTCATCATATAAAAGAAAAGGTTCTACGAATCCCAAAGGATCAGACACATTACCTCACAGGTTAATGAATGTTTCAAATCTTACCCAAATTCTACAACCAATTCTTATTAACTAAACTAAAATTTATTAAAAACAAGAGAGAGAGTATGGTTTAAAAAAAATCAATATACATACAGACATGAGTTCAATTCTTAAGATTCAGATTCATAACAGATGATGAGCTTTGTAGTTGTAAAGAGTTCTTTTAGAAATAGTTCATCAGTTATAGCCCAATGTCCAAATATGTTCAGGGCATACCAGCATAACTAGGACCTCAGTTTTGTGACTCAAACTTCACCTGATGAAGCCAAAGCAGATCTGAGATGACAGAATCAGGACCCAAGGATCTTGTATACAATTTCATGTCCTCTTTGACAAGTTGGGAGTTCCTCCAGGAACAAAAGGCAATTAGGATGACTTTGAAGGAGGTCCATTACTGGTACTTAACTATAGAATTAACATAAGGCAATTTGCTTGTTCCTCCACCATTCACAGATTATTTGCTATACATTTCAAAGAGAGATGAATACAGAGATATTCTGCGTTTACAATTCATTTAAATGCTAGGATGTTCTTCTGATCTCTGAATTATCAGAATACAGCATAGACAGGGACCGCTGATTACATTGTCCACCCAACTCATATATATGTAAATACACAAAAACATTATCTCTCCACATGTCTTTTCAGGGTTGTTTATTTTGCAGGATGTTTAACCTTTTCTAGCCATGCATCACAATAAAAAATTCCAAAGTGATGAGTCTTCCACTTTTCTAATCCATGGTATTTATTTGTGAGCAGTCTCTGTCTCTAACATAGCTATATAACATACAATCATTGTCAAGAACAAATCATATCAAACCAACCTAATAGCTTTCTTTGACAGGGTAACAAGACATGTGGATGGAGGGAAGCAGTAGATGTGATATATCTTGATTTTAGTAAGGCTTTTGATACTGTCTCACATGTCCTTCTCATAAACAACTTAGGGAAATATAATGTAGATGGAGCTAATATAAGGTGGGTATGTACCTGGTTGGAAAAACATTCCCAGAGAGTAATCATCAGTGATTCACAGTTAAGCAGTAAGGGCATATAGAATGGCATCTGGCAGGGATTGGTCTGGATCTGACTCTGTTCAATATCTAGATAAAAATGATTTAGATCATGGCTGAGAAGAGTACACTTAGAAAGTCTGTGGATAATACCAAGCTGGTGGGGGTTGCTTTGGAGGATAGGATTAAAATTCAAAATGATCTGGACAAACTGGGGAAATGGTCAAAAAGTAAATAGGATGAAATTCAATAAGTACTCCATTTAGGAAGGAACAATCAATTACACACACACAAAATGGGAAATGACTGCATAGGAAAGAGTACTGCAGAAAGAGGCCTGAGGGTTATAGTGGATCACAAGCTAAATATGAGTCCACAGTGTAACAGTGTTATCAAAAAAGTGAACATAATGCTGGGATGTATCAGGAGTGTTGTAAGCAAGACCCAAGAAGTAATTCTTCCACTCTACTCCATGCTGATAAGGCCTCAACTGAAGTATTGTAACCAGGTTTGGGTGCCACATTTCAGAAAAGATGTGGACAAATTGGAGAAAGATCAGAAGAGAGCAACAAAAATGATTAAAGTCTAGAAAACATGACCTATGAGGGAAGATTAAACAAAACCAATTTTTTCAGCCTGGAGAAGAAAAGATTGAGGGGGGACATAACAGTTTTCAAATACAAAGGTTGTTGCAAGGAGGAGGGTGAAAATTGTTCTAGTTAACCTCGGAGGATAGGACA